TTGTTCTATTGGCAACTATCCAAAAATGAAAACCAAAATAGTATTTCCGCATCGGAAAGCAGTGCTGTATTCAGATAAAATCATGTTGTTGTAATAGAAATGTTTTAAAAAATCTGATTTTTTTTTTGCAGACTAAGAAGAAACATGATGTTGCATCCTTCGCTGTAGTCGTAGTGGCTATGAATAATAGCTTTCGATAGTTTCGATTGTTGCGCCACCGAATTGATCGCTGTATCTGCCTTTTCCCAGGTTTTCCTTGACTTGGTCGAGGAACTGTTCCCATTTTGAATCGTCCCAGTTTGCAACACGTGCATTACGAATCTGCGAATCAAATTTTAACAATGTTTGTAAGAAACCTTGAAAAGTACGTCCCTTCTTTTTGAGTTAAAAATTTCCCTCCCTGTAATGTTGGATTGAATCCACTGAACATGACGAATACGGTTTGGGCACACATTGACAGAACCAGACGACGTATGATATTGACAAGGCTCAGAAAGGAACGAAAAAGGCGTTTTTACGCACACTTTGACCTTAACCACCTCGTTCCACATAGATTAGTTGGTCTATTAGGTGCATCTCTGTTAACTCGCTAAGGGAAACGCGAACGGTGGTGCCTTTCAAAACCCTTAAAGTGGGAGCTCGGTGCAGAAGGAGCAGAGAAGTGAGAAAGATGACAAACTTGTGAATGATTCGTGTAATGGAAATCTGCAACTGATGGGTATAGTGCTTACCTTGATCTTTACGTCGTAAGTTGTGAACTTTCCGGGGATTTGCTGCAATTTTGCAATTGATGTTTTGTCGGAACTGGAAGCTTCACTGCGTTCGCCGCACTTCGTGCTCTTGCAAACCTTGATTACCTCGCCTTGAGTCACAACGCAATTGTATGCGTTTCCGCTACTCTCCGAATCGACTGTAAAAAAGCTGAATACAAATTTCTGGGGGATAAATTTTCTGTTTAATTCCTATTACTTTCAGAGCGCACATCTGCATTGATCATATGAGAATCGATGTGATAGTAGTGCTTGAAGCAAGAATAGGTGAAACGGTTGAGTATTTATTTTTATTTTATTTTATTTAAACACTCAACTGAGTGCGCCAGTAGAGGGAACTGAGGGCAAGAGCGCAGCCAAGGTTAAGATAAAACGAGCTGAGCTGAGCCAGCAGTGACAATCCGCTGAATACCACTTTGTGTACTAGGGTAGAGGTGGAAAAGAACTCATCTACAAAGACAGGACCACAATAGCTGAACTGGCAGCCTTGAAGAAGAGGCTGGGCGCAGATCCAGCATTAAGACTGCTTGTGACAAGGTATGTACTGTTTATGGGCCTTCTGGGAAATCGCGGTAATACCACCGCGAAACTGTTATCAACGAATGCGTGTGACCGTGGAAAAAAGGGCACATTTTCCATCGCACTCGAAGAATACTAGTCCACAAGGGCCATGTTATTGTCATGACTTATTTACCGTTGGAAAATCTAGAGATGAAGAAGAAATACTCACACTCGACAGTTTTACTAGTTTCACTGGTGAGAGATCTGGCATCGTTGCACTGCAGTGGATCGTAAGTAGACTGCATGAATTGTATTTGCTTCTTAACCTTTGACTGGTCTTCCTTTGAAAGCCTTTCATCAGCCATCTGCTCCCTCATTGCAGAGAGCATCTGAAAAATAAAAAACTTGAGAACAAACAGGGATTTGCGGACTTTGTTCAGAGCCAAGTACGTCACGGAGTGTTGAGAAGGTGCCTCGGGGTATGGCTGCTCTCATAATCCACGATTTGGCGAGCGAGCGACCGAGCGACCTGCCACGCGACTGGTCGCTCGCCAAATCTGGTCTATGAAAGCAGCCTTTGAAGAGACCGGGAAATGCCTGGTCCTTCACAAATCGGTCCACATTCTCGCGTTGTTGCTCATACATTTCCAGAAAATTCTGCCAGATTTAGAAGAAATTACTAAACACTGGCTGGAGTACAAAATATTCCATTATTTCAATGTCAATTAAATCTGTTTGAAACTCTCCTACCCTCGAAATCTGTTTGAAATTCTCCTACCCTCTTAACAAGAACAACTTTATCTCCCGCAGCCCAGTTGTCCGAACAATGAATTCGCCGTTGAAAATGTCTCAGATGCTTACTGCTGGCATTCCCAACTTTCAATCTTACCTCAATTTTCGTGAAACAAATTAGGAGAAAGCTGATTCCACATTAGAGGGGAATGAAGAACTTCTGGGTATACTAATGTTAGCATTCCTTTCTTGCAGATGATTACGACTTTTTTTGAAGGTGTACCAATGGAAGGCTAGCAGGATCAAATAATGTGCTGGCTATGAAAGAAATGGATGTTATGCCTTATGTTCCTCGAGCGGACACGATCCAGTGAACTACATCGGTTCACGACAGGGACAATCAAAGTCGTCAATTCGTCAATTTCTTCCCTCGGCAAAAAATCGACACTCAACGGAACGACCGGTGATACAGCTGATGTGAGGTAGTTGGAAAGGGAAATGTCTTTTTACTGATTTCTCATTGGAATGACATTCCGAACAAAATTAAACAAAGAGCCGAGGGAGCCACACAAAAGGTTTTGGTCTTAAAATAACAAAACTCGATGGGTAGCCTCCAACTTCTCTCTTGTTTTAACCTCGGCATTGTTGTTTACGTTGTTAGAATTCTTCTGCCGTACGAGGTTTTTAGGTGGAACATTTAGAACATTTATTAACTTAACGGCCTAACGTTTCGACGTAAT